AAGCTGGGTACTCATTTTACCGACCTCGGAAGGATAGAAGGCTGAGTCAACTTTGAGCCGGCTACCTGGGATTTGAACCCCAGGTCGTGAGCACAGTTTTAGCTGCAGTACAGTGTTTTAACCACTGCGCCACGAGGCTCAGTTTCATGTTGTACATGCATACTGTATTTGAAGACAGTCAAGAGGGTTTTTCCTGTTGCAACAGCCTGCTTTCACAGTTCCCTTTTCCATGGACATTGTAGTTTGACAAATGTCCATGTTAGTGTTTCAACGCCTGTTAAAAATGCACCTGTTTGGCCAAACATTTGCTGAGTACCTAGCATATGAGGCAGTTTTGCTTTTACTGAGATTTTTTAAAAAACGTTTAACGATTATTTTAATTTATGTGGATGTGTGTGAGCACATGCACAGAATATCTATCACTGTTGAGTGCTTTCAAGTCACCCATACATGTAATTTCAAACTTTGGATGATAGTTTCTTTAGCCCAAACAAGCCAACATGTATAAACCAGAAATGCACCTGAATTGAAAGCTAATTTATAAACTTGACTCGTTTGGCATAATAAATGGTAGTCCTGATTTCAGATGTACAATTATGTCTGGATTGTTTCCATGCTTATGTAAGTGCAAGGAATAAAGCAGGAAAAATATTGCACACGCTAGCATGCAGCTTGCACTCATGATGGTTTGCTAAACCAGAAAATTTTCTTGGCTTACTTTATGTCTGAACATGACCAATTGTACAGGCAAATGTGTATCTGTTTTAACCAGATGTTACTCCCCTTCTTATCTGTAATTACACAAAACACACAACTAATATGGTTTTCATTATGGATGGGTTTTATGTGGAAGCAGTGTAGATTGTCACTACAGAATGGGATTCTTGTAACAGTATGACTTTTCTCCTCCCATTGCTAGAATGGATGGCAACTTAAACTTAGGAGAAAAATAAAGGGTGCATTTCAGCATACCAGGAAGGTGAGGGCGCAGCATACTCTCTGCCATACCATTTTAACTATTAAATATCAACCCTACTTCAATGCACATGGCCCCTGCACCCCATCATCTGCATATCCCTCTCTGATATGGGTATTTTGTCACATTAGAGTGTGCCAGAATGTTGGAATGGTTGGAATTAATAATGTTGAAAGAAACAAGTGGACCTGTAATAAAATATTGCAGTCCTCTATTTTGAATATGAGCCCTGCTGTGCTGTTAAGCGCTCTCTTGTGGCATGTGAGGAAGGGGGAAAGCTTACCTCCCACAACTCCCAACTTGTTCTACAGTGCTTTATACAGTAATGGTAGGAGGCTGCCGACCTCAAACTATAATGTTATGATGAGGTTGGGAACACAGAACATAGTTCTGGAGATGAGAAAGATACCCTTACCCTAAAAATGCCTTCTGTAAACTTTCAGGTTTGGATAGTCCAATTCTTTCTTTTGTTCATTTTCCTTTTGAGTCTTTAATTATTGAATGAACATTACATGGAACAAGCTGGTCTCAGCTGTAAATCTGACTTGTGGACTTGCACAATCTCCCTGAGTTGTTTTTTTAAAATATCTTTCTCTGTGTATACATGTGACTTGTGTATGCATGTGCATGTCAACAGTGTGTAAGCTTACAGCTTCTCAGACTTTTTTGTGTTCCCTTAAAGGGTTGTTTTACTTGATTGTTGATCTTTTGTAATTCCGGGTAGTCTTCTGCCATGCACTAATTTGCCATCTGTGGGGGGATGATATCTTGACCTCTGTTAGGGGGAAATGTTTAAATTATTTCTGTCCAATACTGCCAATGAACTCCTTTCTTTCTCTGTTTTGAAGCTGTTGGGCATGGAAATGCAAAAAGGAAAGGAAAGGCATTTACAAGAAGAGCTTCTATAGGTTTGAATGTCAACTCTGAATAGGTGCATCCTTTAGATCAGGGAGACATGCTTCAGGATGATGTTTCTGGCCCCAGGATTTGCTAGGAGCCACACCACACCTTCCAAATAAAGCCAAGAGTGGGTCTTTTTCTAAAATTTATGAGATATACCTCATTTTACAAGAGACGCGTGCCTTCAACTTTTAAAAAATGTTTCTTGCAGCTGAATGCAGCCCACCAAGATTCAAACTTCTGCAGCCAGCCAGTCTTTCCCAACATGGTCTCCTCCAGATGTTCTGGTCTGCACCTTCTAAAATTCTTGGCCATTGGGCTGACTAGGCCCAATGGACACCGAGTCCAAAACAAGGAGAAGGCACCAGCTTGTGGGAAACTGTCCTAGACTGTCTCGTATCTTGCTAAGGCAGAATATACGCACAGTTTGCATTGATTGTCCACTTCTAGTAATGTTCCCCTTAATTATCCACCTTGAAGAACAGCTGTATGGAAATGTAGAAGCCATTGAGTTAGAATTTAGAAATGGTTGCAGCAGATGTATGTGTTAAAGAGTGCAGTAGTCACCAAGAACAGATAAGTGGGAATATTGGTCCTAGCTCATGGAGGGGAAGTCTGTTGCCCTCAGCCTAATTTCATGGGAGCCTCAACCAAACTGGAAATGCCTTCTGCAAGTGAGCAGTTCTGACTACTGGGAAGAACCGTTTTTCTTTTCCTTACCTTTCTTACATGCACGAAGTACAGTGGACCCTTGACTTACAGACGGCTTGACTTACAGACTTTTTGAGTTACAGACTTCTCTGGCCGCAAAATTTAGGTTTGACTTGCAGACTGAGTTTTGACTTATAGACCAGAAAAAACAACAAAATGGAACAAAAACGGCCTGTTACGGGATTAATCGGTTTTCAATGCACTTTAGGTCAATGGAGACTTGACTTACAGACTTTTTACTTGAGACCCGCCTTCCAATACGGATTAAGTTCTCAAGTCAAGACCCCACTGTAGGCAGCAGTCCATGAAGGGGTTTGCCAAACTGAATTGGTGCTGGTTAGGTTTTAGGGTGCTGCAATAGTTTTTGATGTTTTCCTTGAAGGTATTGATGTCCTCCTCCACTGTATAACTGATTTCAAAATACTTTCCCTTGCCAGCTGTTTTTCCAGCTGTCTCTGGCTTTGCAGCAGTGTCTCATAATTCCTTTTGAAATGTGTTAATTTATTTCATTTATATGCTGTTTTTCTCCTGGTATATGGATCCAAAGCAGCCCCCTAATTATTAAAATGGGAACAACTAAAAACATAGTGTGCTTTTACTTTTGTATAATCAGAGATTGTTGACAGAGTTGACAGTCACTTTCAGAGATTAATCATAAATTGCTGACAGTCACTTTCTGACTGTTCCCAGGATTTTTGTGAGCCTCATTTTATCTTTCAGACAATTGTTTGTACATCTTGAGTAGTCTAAAAGGCTAAAAAATGAAGCAACAACAACCATAATAGTAACAACAACAATAACAACAATAGTAATAATAGTAATACTAATACTAATACTACTACTACTACTACTACTACTACTACTACTACTACTACTACTACTACTACTACTAATAATAATAATAATAAGTAATAGGTAATAGGTAATAATATTAATAGTAACAACAACAACAACAACAGTAATAATAGTACTACTACTACTACTAATAATAATAATAATAAGTAATAGGTAATAGGTAATAATATTAATAGTAACAACAACAACAACAACAGTAATAATAGTACTACTACTACTACTAATAATAATAATAATAAGTAATAGGTAATAGGTAATAGGTAATAATATTAATAGTAACAACAACAACAACAACTTGCCCATGAAAGCTCACATTAGTCTTGAAGGTGCCACAACATTTTTGTGCTTTTTATTTGTTCTTTTATTTTTTTTCTTTTGTTTTGCCTGTAATTCTTGCACAGACTAAGACGGCTGCCTCTTCTAAAAATAATAAAAAAGATTCTCCACATGCCTTTTCTGTTATTACTCCAAGATTTTGAAATTTAGAAGTCAAAAACTAGATATAGATGCTGTGCAGAAATGCCAGGTCTGCATTCTCTTCCAGGATAATTTTAAAATGGATTACAACCCTACTTGTTGTTATTTGCAATACCGCCTTCAGTCAATGGGTGGCAGACCTTCCTAAACCAATTTAAAGGAAGCTGCAGTCAGGCCTCAGGTATATATTTCTCCAGAGTACCTCTAGGTAGATCTATCCTGTATGTTTCTTTTTACCTGCCTGGCTTCCAGAATCTTTAAGCAGTTAACGGGGGGAGGGGGGATGCTCTGCTGTCTGTTAAGGTCTTGGGGAGCAGGAAAAAGGGGCCAATAAAGCAGCCTGGTGGAGGGAGACCAGGCATAAAGAAAAAAAGCGTAGAAGAGGAGGAGAGAGGGGAGAGAGAGAGACATTTCGTCAAGATGGGGGGTGGGTGGGGGAGGCTAAGGGAGCAGTTTAACACTTGTGGAGCAGAATCACTCTGCTAATAAAAAGAGGAAGTGTTTCTGGAGCTGTTCAGATCGCCAACCCTAACCACCAAAGAGATCCAACTCTTCCACATCCAAGCGGAGGGCAGACTCGCCAGTGGGAGAGTGGCCCACCCTTTATGAACTTCGCTGCAGAGTGACGCTTCCTGGCCAGTGCACGCCTTTGTTTCAGCACAGGGTGTTAGGGGTGCATACGGTGAGATTGGCTGTCATGCTTTGACCGTAGACATGTCCCTCGAGGGAAGCTTTGGCTCCTGCTGTTTTGGTTCTCTTAGCAGAACCTGGGTGTCTGGGTCCAAGTATGTCGCTCGCCACAGATATTTCTGTGCCCAGGGTGGATTAAAGTCGAATGGTTTTTAAAAATCAGATTGATCTGCATCGTGATTTAAATTTTGTCTAAACACAGCAAATGATGTGCGGATCAGCTCTGTCGTACTGAGTTCTTTGGCACCTGAAGCAGCATTTAGACAAATCTGAATAGCGTTGGAGCTTTTCTGTGAATACATATTTTTGCATTTTGGCCCAGTCCTGCTGAAGAAGAAAGCTTTACTCCGTTATGGCCATATTTGTGAATTCTTGCTGGACCTGAGGTGCAGTGTGATATGGAGATGGTGTCCTGATTTTAGTTATGACTACAGTTCGTTTTCTTTTGCCTTGCAGGAAGAGTTTGTGGGCTTCCATTTGGAGGAGGATGCCGCTCGAAGTTCACGACGTGCTGTTTTGAGATCTAAAAGAGGTACAAGTGTTACCATAAATGCTACTTGGTGGTTGTCTTGTTCCTGTCTAGCAAATCTGGTAATACCCTGATGCCTCAGCCAATTCTTTAAAGTCCAGCAATGGAAACATTAAAAAATGGCACATAAGAACCTCCTTAATAAATTCATCTGAACAGAAACTAATTAAGTGAGGTTTAAATAAAGCTGTATTGTGCTCCTCAGGGCTCAAACTACATGTTGTGTTAATAGCATATTTAGATAGTGAATTTTGGTCAGGTGCTCTGTTCTTATTTAACAAAAAGCAAACATGTAGGGTAGACTGGTGGCCCTGCTGCTGCTTTTTCTTGAGAAAAGTATCACCAGTACCATGCAGGAGGCTTATATTTTAATTGTTGTGTATGATTACAATTATTTCTTTGTCTCCTGCTTTTTGTTGATAGAAAACCCACAGCAGTTTTGTGATGTAAAATATAGAGTGCAATTCAAGAAATAATACAGACAGACAGACAGACAGACAGACAGACAGACAGACAGACAGACAGACAGATAGATAGATAGATAGATAGATAGATAGATAGATAGATAGATAGATAGATAGATAGATAGATAGATAGATAGATAGATAGATAGATAGATAGATAGATAGATAGATAGATAGATAGATACCAGAATGCAGATGAGGAAAACAAGCAGTTAGTCTAAAGACAGTAATCAAAATGCAGTTTAAACTAAAGCAGTTACAGTGCTATTTCCTTTAAAAGCCTGTTGAAAAAGTCAAAGGATGCTGACTTCTGGTTGAAAGGAATAAAAAAGGTGGCATGATGGCTCCTCCTTGGAAGACTATTAAAGGTGGCATGATGGCTCCTCCTTGGAAGTCTATTCCAAAAGTGAAAAAAGATTTTTCTACAATTGCAGAAACAGAAACTTGATATTATATGCATCCAAGAACCTCATGTGAAAAGAAAAGACTTGAAATTATTAGAATGGCCAAGGTTAGGAAAATTATTTGCAGCCTCTGATGTGAGTAAAAAGAAGAAAGGTGTAGCCATCTATAATAAGAAAGAATTGGATCCAAACAAGAAAGAAATGGATCCGAGCAAGAATTCAGATGATGGAAGGATATTAATGGTGGAAATTCAAAGAGAATCAAATAAATGGTTAATCGTCAATATTTATGCACCAAATGGAAATCAAGAAAACTTTTATAAACAACTGCAACAAGACTTGGCAAATAAAGATTATGATCACTGCTGTGTTATTGGAGATTTTAACACCGTCTTTGATAGAGAATTAGATACAAAATCAGAAAAAACAAGTAAAAAAGAAGAGAAGTAGAAGAGAAGAGAAGCACAATTCCAAGAAATTTCTTACAACTGGCAGAAGAACTAAATATGGTAGATGCATGGAGAACATGTAATCCAAAAATAAGAGATTATACTTTTTACTCTAATAGACATAAATCATTGTCAAGAATTGATACATGCTGGGTGTCAATAAACTTAACGAAATAATTGGAACAAATAGATATTTTACCTAATACATTTGCAGACCGTAATCCAATTTTGTTACAAGTAGGTAGTAGACCAAGAGAATTTAATTGGAAGCTTAACATACTACACTTAAAAATGAAGAATTCAAGTAAAAGAAGAAATGGATTTTGTTTTAAAACAGAATATGAGACCAGAGACCTCAATGTTTATGGTCTGGGAGGCAAGTAAGGCCTTTTTTAGAGGAATAGCCATAAGATTTTCAGCAAAACAAAAAAAGAGAAAGACGGAAAAAATATGAGACTCTGGAAAACAGATTAGCTTCAAATGAGAGGCAGTTGAAACAAAACCCAACAAATAAAGAATTGACAGAGAAGATAAAATTTGTACAACATCAGATAAATATATTACTCACCGAAGAAACTGCGGAAGTTTAAATTTGCAAAGCAAAA